AATTCTTAAAGTATATTTACACTTCCTCTCATGCATCTTAAGCATTTGTACATCTTCAAGCCAAGTACTGCATTCTTCTGATTCAAGCTGTCATCTTCAAGCCACCCACGCATGGTGGTTTGGTGTAGGCATTTTTCAGATAAGTTTTTAAATAAACCAATCCACAGATGCAGATGAATAGAACGGATTGTGAAAGTTAAGGACTGATTTGCAAATTAAGTGGGCTGTTTCAGAGATGGGGTTTGCCACTGCCAGGCTGGCAGAGATAGCAAGTTTTCCTGCCTCTTGGACCTCAGTTAGGGAGATTGTGTCTGGTGTGCCTGTGGGGCATTCTTTGGCTTGACTGACAAGTCAAACTTATATCAGTCCTTTGGGCAACCTACTATGAAATGCTGCTCAAAAAACCCTCTTTTTTTCAGTCATTACAGACCCTGGAGCAACCTCTGAGTCAGCCTCAGGCCATTGTCTCCATTTTAACTCAGATCTCCAGTCTTTTTCCAAATGGCCTGTGTGGCTATATATAAAAGAGTGGCCTTACCTATAGCCTGCTTTTTGTCATCTCAGTGCTTTTTTTTCTCTTACAGAAATAGTGTTTTGTTTCTTTTCTTCTTCATCACGTTTACACCCTGTCATCTTTTTGCATGTTTATGGGTGTCTTTCCCAGTCTAAGCTGGTTTTGGTGGTTAGGTGGTTCTCTGATTTGTGCTGGGGAAGGGTTCTTCATGGGGAAGAGTTCTCTTCCGAGACAAAATTAGGAATGCCTGAGCCCAGAACGATTTACACCTGGATTTGAGTTAACTAAAACATATACAACTTCTCAGGATCAAGACCTCATCTTGGAAAAAATCTGTTGGAAATTTGATGTTAAATGTTATCCAGGTACAGTGTTCAGACCTTTAGCATGTTTTGTATTTTGAGAATTGCTTAACTTAGCAACAGATGGCAGGTACTTTAAAAGCAGAAGCTATGTTTGTAACAGACTTTTAAAATAGGATATAACATGACTGAAAAGTGTTATACTAAAGTAATAATTTTATACATATTAAGTTTTTTATGGACTTACATTGTTGAGGATTCGTTATTATAAGCAGCAGCTTTCTGCATTCCGTATTTTTATGAGTTTCAATGGAAGAGTGAAAAATCTACGTAGAGTTTTCTCCAAAAAAATCACAAGGATGCATTTTACTTCTAATTAGGTTTGTGGATGACTGGCTTTGGTTTCACTGCTGATTATTAATAAAATGTAGGATGTGCACAGTACTCTTAGAGAGAGGAAATATATTAGGAGGAGAGGAGAGAGGAGACTCGAGGAGACTCGAGGAGGGGAGACTCAAGGAGAGGAGACTGGAGGAGAGGAGACTCGAGGAGACTCGAGGAGACTTGAGGAGACTTGAGGAGAGGAGACTCGAGGAGAGGAGACTCGAGGAGAGGAGAGGAGACTCGAGGAGAGGAGACTCGAGGAGAGGAGACTCGAGGAGAGGAGAGGAGAGGAGAGGAGAGGAGAGGAGAGGNAGAGGAGAGGAGAGGAGAGGAGAGGAGAGGAGAGGAGGACGGAAGGGGAAGGAAGGGGAGGGGGAGGGGAGGGGGAGGGGAGGATTTTATGTTACTTAATCAACAGGATTATTTACTGAATTAAATTTTGGATTTTTTTGGTCAGAATACGATTTATTCCAATATGTTTTGACAGTGCCGTCAGCTATGAGAAACTAGTGACTCTAGATATTCTCTGCCAGAATGATGAATCTATTTCCAGTAAGCTAGTTGCTTCATCGTGTTGGGTATACTCTTGGGCATTTATCACGTAATTCCCTTAATTCAAATCAGTTGTGTACATATTTTGTAATTGATGAATTACTCACAGTAAATAAATATTCATACAAAATCAACTATTTGTTAAATTTAAAAAAATACTGTTTAACAGTTTTTGTACCAGAAATTAGCAGTCTTTTGTTTACTGTGTCTTTTCACAATAAACAAACTTTAAATATGAATTAGTGTATTTTAAAATGCTATTTACAATTATTACAACATTTACTCTATACCATTTCAGGTAAGAACACATTTACATTGCAAGTGTATGTTAAATACTTTTATCAGCACAGTGACTAATACCAGATCACTAGTCCTTGAAATAACATGTCATTAAATTTTGAAGATGAAACAACTATTCTCCCATCAAATTCTACACTACATTTTGATGAAATGCCTTGGTTAAGTAATGTCTTTGAAGACTGGGTGTTACTTCCTTTAGCTCTGATTATAGTTGGCAGACATAATGTGTTCTTTGTGTATTACCAAAACAGAACATCTCTGTGGCGTACTCAGTCTTTTCTTCATAAATGGATGCAACTTTGGTGTGTTGGATGTATTTCAGTGTGTTGTTTGCATTTGATTAATTTGGTCTTACAGCTTTTGTGTGTGCAAGTTTCTTACCCCTACTACTGCATATATATGATTGATGCAGTGAACTGTTGGCTTCTGTTCTGTAAATATTAATCAAAGAGTATGCTCCTCTGCTTAATGGCTTTTCAGTGTAGGAGGCAGCCAAACAACTATAGTCTGTTTTTTTTTTTTTTTTCTTTAATCATTATTGTGTAAGACACTGGCTAGAACATTTTTTTTAATCTATAAACACTATTTCATGCTTCAACATATCCATTGTTTGGTCAAAGTTATGAAATATTGTTGCTCAATGAAACTTTGTTTTCAGCATTTCCTGGTAAAGCAGTAATAGAAGAGATAAAACAGTAAAGGAAGGGGTAGATAATTAAGTAAAGAAAAATACTAGGAATTCGTGCAAGAAAGAAGCAGAAGGTGCAGAGTCAGTAAATTCAGCCTCATATGGTTTCAGGTCTTATGATTTGGACAAATAGTTTTCTTTAATCAAAAGCCAAACTGGATGCTTTTTTAGATTCCATGGCTGTGGTGAAAGGAAGAATTTGTGACTAAAATATTCTTAAGGAGAATAAGGTAGACATTTGCTATGTTCCAATGTGTGTTTAAAATGTGTATAAGAATAGTTGATTAGTATGACAGCTTATTTGGGTGAGAAATTAAAAGACGTTCAATATTTAAATAAATAAACCAGTAAATGTTTGGTGGGGGTGGTGGTGGTGCAGCTCAGTATCAGAAGCAATGAGTTTCTTGAAAACACAGCTCACATTTTTCTGGCATGTAGTTCTGGTATAAATTTGATAGATACAGCTTTAGTCATTCTCCATGAATGTCACCAGTGAGGCAAGCCAAGGCTTATGCTTCAGGGTTTGTAATGTTTTTTGGGATCCGGTGTGGGATAACTTTAGTGACTGTGCATCCCTTGTCCCTTTCTTAAAAATATCTCTAAATTGTGCTGGTAGCAAAATTTTACCCCTATCAGTATCACAGACTTAGCTTAAGAATTTAGCAGAATTAGCAGAATTTATTGAATTGCTGTTGCCCTTGACCATTAGGATAGATTTGCTATAATCCTCTCAAGCACTGTAGGATCATAGAGACTATCACATTCTGTGTATTTACTAACACTTTTGTTCTACAAATTATATTTCAATTGTTATGATATTTTTTTTTTCATTCCTCCGGTTCTTGTCTGCAAAATGTATCTCAGTTTTTGTTATAGGCCTTCAGAAAGACATAAGGCAGAAATCCTCCAAACTGTCTAGAATTTTATATTATATAAGGTGTTCAAAGGCAGATCTGTTTTTATAGAAAGGAACACAGTAATACTGAAGCTTGTGGTTCAGAAAAATAGTCGTTGAAAGCTGATTCATTAAATCACAAAAACTTCTAGTTTATTTCCAGTCAGTTTATTTATCTCATAGTGTATTGAAAATACTTTCAGGAAACATCAATAAGAGGACTGAATGGCTTGAATAAAATACTTGTGGCATAGTCCACATTACGTAGTAGAAATTAATATGTTTTGTTAGTTGAACACATATTTACACAGTGTTTTATCACCTTGCTTTGAGCTACTTCTATAAATACTCTTCTTGCATATATACTTATATTTACATTTGAATATATTAGCATGCTCTTGCAGAAATAACTATTTGGAAAGAAATTTTTGCTTACAGACTGTTTGTATAAATTGAGTATTTGTTTCAGATCCATGTCAAAATGGTAGACCTTATGATTTTAAAAATCCTTTCTCCTGGATAAAGGCCATTTCCACTGTTTTAATTCATAAATATGTGCTTCAGTGAATTGAATCTACATCTTCCATTTTGATAATGATTATTTCCACATTCTCATTGTTTGTTAGTTCTCAAAAGTTAATTTTTAGTCCAGCTAAGGAATCTTCATGTCTGGTTAATGTAGTTACTGCTTGTTGACCTTCTGGAAATGCTGATAAGTCAAAGAACTTTTTAATGTGCTAAGAACAGCTAACTGTTATAAAGTTAGATGCTTTTCTCTGCTGATCTGCACCTGTCATTGTTCTTCCCTAGTTTTTGTAATGACATTGTTGAGGCTGCAACACTAATACGGAAGTAAGATGAGGCAAAATCATGGCTTCTTAAAGACCTTGTCTAGTAGTTGTTTTAGTTTAGTTTACATATAAATATTGTCCCTAAGGTGCAAATTTTAGGACAGACTTGTTAAGGTACATTTTCTTTTCAAGTGTAGTTCTTTGGAAGTGGTGATTTATATCTTAAAAATATGTAGTGTTAAAAAGAAACAGAGGATTTGGATATATTAATTACTGTAGTTTTTGATAGGCTTTTGGCTGATACAAGTAAGGTAATATGTCTGTAATAGAACAGAATCTCTATTAATAGTACCTTCCTTTATGTGTCTTTCTAAGAAACAGGGCAATTATTTCAATTTAAATGTAGTGTGAAAAACTGAAGAAGGTACTTAATAATGCCTTTGTACTACTTGAATTTCTGTATGTTTATGTATTTGTTTATGGAATTTAAAATTAAAATACTTAAAATGAACAAGGCACATTTGTAGATACATGGGAAAATAATAGTTGCATTTTCTCTTTTTACAAACTCTAGGGGGGACACAAAGATTACCTCGCACAATTGGAGTGTCATTGGCAAAAGAACTAATCTTCTCTGCACGCATTGTAGATGGTGAGGAAGCAAAATCAATAGGATTGATTAGCCATGTGGTAGAACAGAATGAAGCAGGGGATGCTGCATACAGAAGAGCATTAGCTCTGGCAAGAGAATTCTTACCTCAGGTATAACAAATCATTTTGATTTTTTAGTTTTTACCAATAGTAAGACTGAAAAAGACACAGTTTTATTAAAGAGAACTGTCACAAAATTATATATCAAAAATCCATGCTAGTTATGTGGCAAGACAGCCACATAATAATAACCAGAAGTTTTCTCTCTTGTATTGAATGGCGTTATTTGGTAATTACTTCATACTGAGACAAACCTCCATCAATCCTCATTTTGCCATGATCTGGTCTGTGTTTTCATTATGTGTTCTGGCTTTCAGCTTTTAAACAACAACAAAAAATGTTATACAGGTTTTATTTTTTAGTATAGCCATTATTTTAATAGATTACTTTGTTGCTGTTGAACTCCTCAGAAGGGAAGCAAAAGGTCCTAGATAGAAAATTCCTAGGAGGCAGAAAAAGAAAATAATTAGTGAATCACTTTATTGGACCACAAGGGTAGCAGTTAAAATTTTTCATTGGAAATGTAAAATGTAATAGCTTAGCTATGGCATTTAATGGTGGTTATTTGTGTCTTGAACACCTTCATAGAAAGACAAAAACTAGAAGTACAGTAAAAAATTTAACATACAGTGGTTCTGGAAAGTTGATTATTAGAACTGCCTCATAAGCATGTGGCTTTTCCCAAGTCAGCAGGCCTGAACATCCAGAAGCTGATGCTGATGGATAGGCACAGAACTGAGATGATTTCCAAAGATGTCTTGCAGTTCTGCAGCACATTGGAGGAGAGTGTGGGAAACCCTCTGCTCACTGGGGATCTCAGTCACTCACGGGAAAGTGTCATCACTTGATCAGAGCAGTTTTTGCAATAGCATATTATAGGTTTGAAGCTTGAATCAATTAATTTTATTTCATGATTACATATTTTCACATGTCTGCATTGTGTGATAGTAAGGACATAGGACTGACGGTGCAAAGACTTATAATGATGTATCTTAAAGTGGCCATTCCAAGCCTTGTTTTGAAGGAAATTGATAAAGCTTGACAAATGTCGACACACTCAGCACCTTTGAAACATAAACCAAACGTAGGTTTAATTTTAAAATTAGGTTCTTTTGAAAATACTGTGCTTTTATTTTCTCTCAATATTGAAACTATCGGTTTAGAAGCAAACGTTTACTGTAATGATAAAATCTAGGCTATATGACTTATATACTGTAAATTTAGTGAATGTCCAAAGTCTAAATGGTCCTAAATATAAGAATATTGATGTGCAGACTTTTCAGTTACAAATCTTGCAGGTTTTGATGATGTGTAAATAAGCTTTTTCTCTCATTTTAGGGACCAGTAGCAATGAGAGTTGCAAAACTGGCTATCAATCAGGGAATGGAGGTAAGGATCTGCACTTTCTGTGAGAGTAGGACGGAAGTCAGGTTGGCAACAGTTGTACTGTGCTGACATTCTTTTCCTAGTACTGTTTTTGCTTTAGCATTGTGTAGTCTTTCGAAGTCTATTTGGTCAAAACTTTCTAAAGAAAGAAATGTGATTTTTTTTATGTCTCAGACTCCTGAGATGCTGATTTCTGTAACAAGGCTTAGTAACCTCAAGAGTAGTGTATTCTGCTAATTATTAATAACAGAAAGTAAACATAAACTACTATGAGCAAATTGTGTTTCAAATCCCAGGTGGGAAAAATTATCAAAATCATACTCTGTCAAGTCTGTCAAACTCTCAGTGTTTAGTAACTAATAAAGGCTGAAGGGCATATTATTTATTTTTAATAGTTTAATGGCAGTGTTAAAATTGTACCTGGAGCCTCATTTCATGTTTGATTCTGATTGCCACTCCATTGCCACACTATTGACCTAGCTCTGAAGCTCATTTAAAATCCCTCCTGGACATGTGTTTTACTTTAGGTATACATATCCTAATGCTGAGTTCAACAGGTCTGTTCATAAAGTTAGGCTATGCACCAGGACACCTTGTAGCTGAATCTGGTACAAGGGAAACAGGACCATACCATGTGCAGCGTCTGAATCCAAGAAGATGTATTTGTCCTTTTTTCTTAAAAGTCACAAAAGCAACCAGCAAGTTCTGCAAAGCATAACACCAGCAAGTGGTGGCCTGAAAACCAAACTCAGATGCCACTGCACAGAGAGTATTTTAGGTTTCCACAGCAAATAATGGTGGAATTTAAGATTTATTTCAATACCTAAGGCTCAAAATGTTACAAACTAAGTTATCTCACTACCAGACACAGTGGATTGAAAGGTCAAAATAATGGTGTTTATAGAATTAGGATGATAAGGTTAGATGTACTCTGAATGACCACCTCTAGTACAATGCTGAGGCCCAAGACAAGATCTACTGTATCAAAGCCAGTCAAGGCAAATGGTCATCCAAGCTGTTGTTACAGAACTACCATGGCACAGATGACATGGCATCCTTTGATAGCTCATCCTGCAACTTAGCTCCCCTTGAAACCTGCTTGTGGTGCATAGCCATAGTCCTTCCAGTGGTCAAGCAGAGAGCTAGTGAATTCTGCAACATCTGGTGCTTAAGACAGATGGAGAAATAGTGATGCCAAAATTCAGCCTTTTCAGCTGTTCAGGGCAGTTCACAAAGAAACTAAATGTATTAAAAATAGATGATGATGATGATGATGATGATGATGATGATGATGATGATGATGATGATGCAGGATAGACATGGGCCTCTTTATTTTTCTGTTTTAAATACTTTTGAACTTGAATCTGTGTTTATTTTGTGGCACACTATCCTGTTCTTATATGACATTAGGAAGATATTTTGTTTCAGAAAAAAATTAAGTAATCATGCAACGCATCTTTTCCCCTGTAGTAAATGAAATTATTATAAATGTGCAGGTAGCTAATGGTTTGTACCTAACCACATGACTTTTAATAAAAAGCAGACTTTTTTACCGTATTGCATGCTAGTTATATTTCCAAATCAGGAGTCTGTTACTAACCACTCTTACCACATGTCAGTGTAGCATTTCTATGTTAAAGTAGTGTAGAAGATCTTTGCAGAAGTATTTTAGTATGTGTCATATTACAACATAATATTTATGTTAGCTGTGAGGAAATAATGTATAATAAATTTTAAAAAATAATTTTAAAAACCAGTGTACTCTTTTCCACAGGTTGACTTAGTAACAGGTTTAGCGATTGAAGAAGCTTGTTATGCTCAGGTATGTAAATATGATTACATGAAAAAAACACAGAAAACAAGCTTTGTTGATGCCAGTTATGAAACATGCAGAAATCCAACTAAAAATTGCTCTGTGATTTCATCTGCAAACTTTTTGGCATTTTATTTATATTTCCATCTATATTTTGTATATATTTTGTCTGATTTTGTAAGGAATTTAAGGAGAGAAGGTGCAGTTCAGGACAATAACACAGCCATACTGTTAGGGTGAAGATAGTGAAGGAGTACCAGCCATACATCTAGCCAGTCATACACTACCATGCCAGTCCAAAGACTGCCTTGCTTTTGCTTTGTTTTGGTTTAACATGAAATAATACAAAGGACACTTCACTAATATGATGTCAATAATGGCATATGTGCTAACCAATCAAAATTTGAGACAAACCTCTTTGCCAGTGAAAAATGGGAATGATATGTTTGAGATTATATATTCTTGGACTTCAAGTCAAGTTTTCTTGATGGAAATAAAAGCATCAGCACTATATGCTTATTTAAGATGTGATAATCAGATTCATAACCTTCTTCCCCCTCCCTAAAACCTAAAATGAACCAAACAATGAAAACCCGAAGAAACCCAAACCTCTCTTTCTCCTTGACCCATCCTCCCCACCACACCCCCCAAAAAAAGAAAAGAAAACAAACAAACCTCAAACCCTAGAGAATTTTTTTAACTCATCTGTTTGGAGAAAAGGTACTCCTTTCCATCCCAAATTGTTTATCAACCTTTTGTCATGCCCTTGAAGTGTCTGATATATTCCTATATCTGACTAGATAGTTTTAATTTTTCTGCTGTATTATAATTTTTCTGATGCATCTTGGATGCATCGAAGAACTGGGATTTGTATGAAAATGTCTTTCTTGTAATTGTTTTTGGTGTCTATAATGAATTGTTATTCTGCTCATTGCAGACTATCCCAACAAAAGATAGAATTGAAGGCCTTCTTGCATTTAAGGAGAAGAGACCTCCTCGCTACAAGGGAGAATAAAAGAATCTGATGCCTTTAAAATACAGGGGGATAAAAGTACTTCTATGAGGACCATTAAGGTGCACTTTGCATCTGCACCTGAAATATCACAATCACCAAAGTAACAGCAAATCATACAGATGTTACAACATTTTGAATGTGTCCATATTTACACAAAGCCAAGACAGAAATGTGTGTCAGGTCATGCTCATTACAGTTTCTGATGGTTGATCTGTGTATTGGCAAAGTCACAGGTTCATGCAGCATTTTAAAAATTTCACATGTATGAAACATACCATTCCACAATTGAAAAAGCTCTGTAATTCTTTACATAGACAAAATGTATCTGTGATGTTAAGCATAAATCTGCTATATCATTTTATTAAAACAAAAGCAACTACTGAACACCAAAAAGAAGAAATTGTACCAAATATGCATTTAAATTATTCTGCATATCAGTAAAAATTATATTTGAGTATTCTATCAGAATATCTATATTATTAATAAAGCTGGGGGAAATGAAAAGGATTATAATTCAGAAAATGTTAAGCTTTGTTTATCTTACTTACTAAGCAACATGAAATTCACTTTAGCACTTAATGGTGTCCTTTTGATAAAGTTGTTGCCATTATATTAATTTAATTGTATTAAATGATGACATTTTTGAGGCCAGCCTTTAATTATACATTCTTGTATGTTAAACCTGTCTTTGTCCTGCTTTTTTCCAACATATCATCTGATCAGCACTGTAATGGAATTTTATTTCACTTGTTGCAGTTATTTTAAATTTTTGATGATTGTATTAAAGATGGCTGTGCGGGGATATGACCAATGTGCTGTAATAGAACCTAGAATTATCTTAATCTCCAGAATATTCCTTTTGCAAGTTTTATGAATGTATATTTATATACAACAGGGATGATGTTAAAAGGTTCTTTATTTTGTGGTGGCCTCAGAGTTCTTTTCATACATTGCAAGAGAAATGCAGTAGGTTTCAAGGTAAGAAAACTTGTGATTCATACTGTGTATTTGCAGTGGACACAGCATATACAGAAAATGTCTGGAAATAACCTTGTAGAAAGTATTTTTGTTAATTTGACTGGAAAATAAACATGGCTTAGCAGTCCAAGGCTGTCTTTTTATATGGAAACAAATTTATTCATGCTGGGTTACCATTGGCTCATGAAACTTGTGCATGCTCTGCTGTTTCTGCAACATTAGCTATGGTCACTGTCCATATCTATGATGATAAAGAATCTCATCAACATGAAATGACAAGAACTCATTTAAATTCATATTTAGACATATCATTACATGTAAATTGATTATAACCAGTAGAGCTCACATTTTGTTGACTGGTAAACTTGCTGAGTCGATCATTTCTTGCACAATAATTTGCAAATAAAGTACTGGTACTTGTTTTGATAGTTATATAAAGCCTAGAGGGTCATTTTCTCGTGTTTTTGAAATTCTAACATGTCATTTTCATTTTTACTGACTACAAAATAATTATGTTAATAGGAAAAAAAATACTAAGCATATGCAGACGGGTTTCGGTTGCATAACTTTGATATACAGTCTGGCTATTGAGCTGCCTCTGTTTCTACCAAGCACTGATTAAGTAGCTTCTGTGAATGTCTATTTAAAAATATCTAATAACTTTAAATACTGTGGCATATGACTGTGTAGATTTATGCCTTTAACTAGTAGTTTTGATCTCAGAAAATAATTTTGCTGTCACAGTGGTCTCTGTATTCCTTTTCTCAGGAGAAGATAGTGTCATATCATAGCAATTTGAGTTCCTTCTTTGAAGTCAACAGTTGGAATATTATTACAAAGTGAGTATCAGTAGGACAGTTTTTAAAGGTACTTTGGAATGATGTTGAAGTCATTCTGGAGGAAAAATATTTTAGCAAAAGATATGGTAGTCACTTACTGTCTCATTTATTAAGTGATGTGTTTTAATGGCAACAGTACTCATAATTAGTAGTAGTATTAGAACTCTGCTTCAATGAGAGGGTTATAAGAGCAAAAATGCTCTTATAAAGGCTGGTTTTTCCTTATGAAAGGTATGATCTGGCAAATCTTCCTTAAAACACTTAGGCTCAACTCTTTCAGTTCCTGGTAAGGCCATGCTTTTCTCCACAATGCCTCATGGATGAGTGAGCCCTGGTCTCTGCTGGTTTTCTGAAAGATTGTCTCCTGGTCCCTAGACATAAGCAGCTTTTTCTTCTCCTCCTGCTGAGCTCAGGTGAATAGTGAGTTTTTCTGCACTCCAGTGAGCTGGATATTGAAAAGTTATAACACAGGTAGGTCCATTATCCATTATTAGTTATCAGCAGATAGCTTCTTGGCATTTGTATGTTCCACTTACTGGATTGCCTAGAAATTCTCAGTTTCATGAAGAAATTAATGTGTGACTTTATATAACACATACAATTTTAGCTTTTAATGTAGCACGCTGCTTATATTTTCAACAGTACTGAAGTAACTCACATTCTTAGTAGTTTTACTAAATTTCTGGATAAAATTTTCATGATTGTCTGTGTGGCTGTCATCGGTTCAGTGCTTTTGAGTAGCTCATGTGTAATGAAAAAAAGGTGTTTTATTTATTCTAAGATTATGTAATTAAGTGTTAAGTGCTTTTGGAGATGTTTTCAATGGAACCTTTTTATGACATTTGCAGTCATTGCTGCCCAGTTATTTCTGAAATTCTGTCCATCTATGTGAAATTAGTCATAGTTCTCCATTAAGGTTCATGTCAATGCTTTTCTAGAACTGCTTTTAACTATGCATTTAGAGTAGTAAACATTAGGATCATTCTCAACTGCTGCATATTTTACTCAGTCATTGTTCTTTGATGCATTTAATCATAGTCACATTTGTTGAAGAGATCACCACAGGAGAGGGCAAAATATTATGCTACTCAGAATCTGGTTTTCAGAGACTTAGGGAGTAAAGTAAGAGGTTTTAGCACTAGTGTCACTTCATATACCAAACCCAACTCATAGATGCAATGTGAAGAGTAGCTGAAATCTTAATTTATCACTGCATAGTCTTTACTTATGCCTTTTTCATGCAAGAAAATCCCTGAATAGATGTCTGCTGAGATTACAGAGGCAATTTTTTTTTACAGATTTAAAAAAATGTACTTTAAAAATATTGTTGTTCATTTGAGTGGTGTGCATTGAACAAGATGTGCTTTCATGTGTCATTTGTGGAATTTTAGCCTTGCTCTTGAACCTAAAGGCACTGCTGAAAAGCTATAGGGCTGCATTGTCTACTGAGGCTGATACAGTCTGTGTACTTAAGCTGTGATAAAGTTCATGATGATGTGGTTAAAATGTTCTTTTTCTGCACACTTTTAGGCAGAGAGCTGTCTCCCAAAAATGAGAAGAAGAAAAATGTCAAGCAGATAAACCAAAAGAAGAATTGTTCTCAGCTAAAGGTAATAAAATTTCTCTTGTCTACTTTAGGGGATTAGAATGACTTTTTTTTCTATTTGTGGCTTTTTTCCTGCTGGCTTTTCTTTCTTCTAAATCTCAGACATGAATGTGCAGGGAGCACTTTTGAAACTTTCTATGTGTTCTTTTCACTTTAAGAACATTAGTACTTTTTAAGCAAAGTTAGTAGAGTTTAAGAAATTTCCCTGTAAGGTGTTTGAAAGATGTAATCAGAAATTACTGAGTTGCCACTAAAGATTAGATTATATGCCCTTTTTATTGTAGATTTAAATCATGCTCTGTTTCAGCCTTGGAACAGAGTTGAATAGAAATTTCTGTAGTTAAGCAGAGTGTGCTGTGTTTACACAATGTGTTCACTATGCTTCATAATATATATGTATGTATACTGGCATGTCATATGCATGCATGTGTATGTGTGTATTTATGTGTGTACATGTAAATAAAATTATCCAGACTGTCAGGCAAGATCAAATCAATCCCTCAGGATGTGATACTACTATTCTGCTTCAGGAAGTTTTAAATTTGTTTGTGCAAGAGCACAACCAGCAGAACAGCCAGTGTGGGCCCTACACAGCACGTACCATGACAGCTACAAGTGGGCATACTTACCATGTGTTCTATAGCACAGAAATTCTGCTGCAGAAGCAGCAGGCGAGTAGTGAGGGTATGCATGTGTGTTATTGTGTATCTGGTCATGTACATAGTGTGTAGTTCAAGTCTAGAATAAATGTAGTAGGAATTAAAGTGAGTTCTTAAGTTTCAACAAAGGTGTGGCATCCAGATAGCACATTCCTCCCAGTGCTATAATATCATTTGCTCCTGCAGTTTGGAGAGGCCTGCAGCAATCATGAGTAGCACATTAATCAGCCACTGTCACAGATTATAAGATCAGTGTCTACCCTCTTTAAATAAGTCTAGACTTAGATTTTATCTTCAGCTTTTATCTAGTAGATAATTCTTCCAAGGACACTCATTCACATGGGAAGAAATATGAAGTATGTTAAAAGAATTTATTACAGAGGGTGTGAACATTCTGTGTCAAAGCTAACTCCTAGTATTCCAAAGTATTTGTAATACTTGAGTTGAAAATAGTATGTTAACCCTGTAAGGCATAGTCTGTGCATGTAATAAACTCTTCAAAGTTCTGGCTAGTGAGTACTATCCTTTGATTGTAATTTCTGAAGCATATGCTAATAAAGCTTTTGTAACAATAACAAGCTGAGAATATGGTGAAGTTTTCTTGTTGCATAATATAACCAGTTTCAGAAGAACATGGAAAGTTTGTTATTTTTGTAAGGAACTTATACATCAAATTGTTGCTTCTTTATTCTGGCAACTGCTAATTGATTTAACATTTTCCCTTAAGCATAAGGGACTTTGTGATATCATCTTTGGCTCAATTCTTTTTAGTATGTTAAAAATTCTGAAGCCAGTTGTAATTTTTTTTAAATGTGTCTCTTCCATGCAGCTTAGAAAGACAAAGTTAAAAAATATAATTGTGAGGATATAGTTGTAAAGGTTGTGTTTTTCCGACACATAAATGTTAATAATACATCTGTAGGCTTGTGTGAAAAGAGTTTGACTCTCCATCTTTTGTGCAAGAAGTCTTTATTGCTGGGACTGTTGTCTTCAAAGCTGAAGTATTTTTGGAAATGCATGTGAGTATCTTGAGCTAGTGACCCCTGAGGGTGAATGGTTCATGTTGTCCTGTAGTTACCATCTTTTGACCACTCTATCCAAGCAGGGGTGAAAGGAGGAGAGAGCCAGGGAGCATGCTTCTAAGAAGCAGTGGGTCTTGGAAGAGTGTATACTAAAGAGGTTTTGTAGGGTGGGTTCAGGCTGCATTCTTCGGTCACAGCTAATTTCAACACAGTCATTTCTAGTATCTTCATGAGCAATACCACAAACTAGATCTTTCTGTATTGGTTGGTTACAACATCTGAGTTCTGTACCCAAAAGACTAGTAGAGATTGTAACCTCCAAACATGATTCCTAGAGTGTCTGTATAATATATGAAAGGAGGTGGGAGCCACAAAAACAGCATAACGGAAAGGATTCTGTCTAAGTTACTAGATTGTAAATGAACACATGGACATGGGTTTTTTTCCACTTCGGGTGGAATGAAGTTCCTGTCTCCGTTTTGGGTTTTACAAATCTTATCTGACATTGGTCCTTTTTTGAAAAAGGGAAGGGGATATGCTATGGCAGTTCCATCTGTATAGCTGCTCAGTAGTTGAAGGACTCATGAAACAGCAAAGCAACTCAAGTTTCTTCTCTCTCCTTTCACTTAATTGACCTGAGCCAAACTTTCCTACAGTAGTGACCTGTTCACTGGATTCTTTGAAATGACACATGATGAAATTTCTCTAATTACTTATTCTACAAGTTAATTTATTGGGATGTAGAGATAATGACATCTACCTAATAGTTTGTAGAGGTAAGGCCTGTCTTGCAGTTCCTTCATGCAGCAAGTATCACCCTGGTTTTATGATACTGTAGCAAGGATGGAGACCTGCTCACTTTCCTATTGTCCCCAGCATTTTCTTTGTTCAGACTCCTGTCTACTAAACATGAAGATCCTTAATGAGTCAGACTCCTTAGAAGATGTAGAAGGTTTAATTCATTCATCCCAAAAGGCCTTGGACACAGCACTTCGTATGTTCAG